AATCAGCTAAATAAAGACCAGAGGCTTTGTCTTGCTTTCTGTGGATGATGATTCTAATGTCAGTGTCAGTTTTCAAAGCCTCTTACATGCTGTTTGGGTCTGCCTTGCATTTGCGACATAGGGGTTAGTTTGGGACCTAGCAGTGGTTTTTGTTGTGGTTTATTTTTCAAAGGATGCTGTAAACCAAAAGTATCTGAGACAAATCTCAGTTTAGGAGTTGATTTTTCCAAGGTTAAGGACATGCTGTGACACAGCCTCAGGAAGCCCTAACGACATGTGCCCAAGGTGGTTGGCCTATAACTTGGCTTTATACATTTTAGGGAGTCATAAGACATCAATCAATACATGTAAGATGTACACTGGTGTGGCCTGGAAAGGCGGGACAACTGGAAGTGAAGGCTTCCAGGTCATAGGCAGATTTAAAGATTTTTCTGATTGCCAATTGGTTGAGTTATTATGTAAAGACTTGGAATCAATAGAAAGGAATGTCTGAGTTATGATAAAAGGTTGCAGAAATCAAGGGTTTATTATGCAGATGGAGACCCCAGGTAGCAGGCTTCAGAGAAAATGGATTGTATGTGTTTCTTATCAGACTTAAAGTGTATGTTCTGTCATTCTTAAGGTCTGTGTTGATATTAATAGCATTGAGGCATGCCTGACTCCCACTTGCTATCTGGCCTGAGCTAGTCTTACAGGTTAACTCTGGAGTGCCCTTGGCCAAGAGGAGGGGTCCATTCAGGTAGTTGAGTGGTTTAGAATTTTATTTTTGATTTATAATGTACAGCTAAGGCATGAGGCTGAGACATGTGTTTGTTATACACAGAATTATGGGATTCCTTTTCCCATATTTTCTGGGCTTTCCTCATTCTTCCACTCCTAGAGATTATGTTCTTGATTCCTCTGGCCAGAAATATGGATTTGTGTCAGAGTTTTAGACCACCAACCACACTTCTATGCAGTTCCATGTGACTAGAGCTGCCTTCAGGGCGAAGTGGCAAAATAAATGAGAAACAAATGACTTTGTTCAGACTACAGGGGTCCCATCCCTTTGGATGTTTCCTCTAGCCAGGGAGATGAGTTTTCATGTGCCCATAGCACCACCACTGTGACAGTGTGGTTCTGTGACTGGGCCTGGCTTGGGGTAGGGCCAAGAGGAAACACAGAGAGGAGTAGGGATGCTGTCCAAAAAGAGGAAGTGTCTTTTTCTGATCCTCTGACCCAAAATAAGAACTTTCTTTTGGATTATTTATTGTCTACACTTGTGTGCAGTTCTGCATTTTTGACTTGGAAACTGGAACTGATAGTCCTTCACATTTGACTTTCTTCCCCAATCTGTGTGCTATTGTTCGCTTTTCCGAGTCTAGTTGCTTTTTGTATTCTGTCCAGGGTTTTCCATTGTAATCACTGGAAAAATTTTCTATAGTGTACTTACTTCATCTTGCCAGCACCGGACTCAATGGTATTTTAAAGAAATTTAAAAAGATGATCTTGCAATCTCCACCTCCTGGGATCAAGTGATTTTCGTGCCTCCCAAGTAGCTGGGATTACAGGCATGCACCACCATGCCGGGCTAATTTTTGTATTTTTAGTAGAGAAGGGGTTTTGCCATGTTGGCCAGGTTGGTCTTGAACTTCTGGCCTCAAGCAGTCTACCTGCCTCAGCCTCCCAAAGTGCTGGATTACAGGCTATGAGCCACCACACCTAGCCACCTCTGGTTTATTTTTTTGTTCTTTTTCTTTTTTTTTTTTTGAGATGGAGTCTTACTCGTCACTCAGAATGGAGCCCAGTGGTGCAATCTTGGCTCACTGCAAACTCTGCCTCCCAGGTTCAAGCAATTCTCATGCCTCAGCCTCTGAGTACCTGGGATTACAGGCACATGCCATCACACCCAGCTAATTTTTGTATTTTTAGTAGAGTTGTGTTTTCCCACCTTGTTGGCCAGGCTGGTCTCGAACTCCTGATCTCAAGTGATCTGCTCGCCTCAGCCTCCCAAAGTGCTGGGATTATAAGAGTGAACCACCTGGATTTTAAAGCAATTTTCTTTTCCCTTGATTTTTAAATCAGTTTTATTGTTGTACCTATATGTAGTTTTCTTTGTCTTTATCATGTTTGTATAATTTTTTGATCTGCCTTTGAGTTTGAATAATCCTTTCTTTTGTTACTCTCTCTAGTGAACTATTCATTTTGGGCATTGTATTTTTCAGTTTTAGAATTTCAGAACTGGGCATGGTGGCACGTGCCTATAGTTCCAGCTACTCAGGAGGCTGAGGCAGGAGTATTTCTTAAGCTCAGGAGTTTGAGACCAAGGTGGCTGATATAACAAGACCCTGTTTCTCTAAATAGAAAAAAAAAAAAATTGCATTTTTTATTCCGTTTTTTAGAGCTTTCATTTGTCTGCCAAAATTCTCTATCCCTTTTTTCATTTTTTTCTACCTTTACCTCTAAATACTTTTACTGTTATATGTATATTTATATGATATTTGCTGTTTCAAAGTCTTCGCTAATACTAATATATGAATCATCTGTGAGTATGCTTCTATTCCTTTTTTCCTTTTGATTACAGATTACATTTTTCTGCTCTTCAAGTGTCTCCTTCTTAAGATTTTATGCAAACACTGGATAAAAGCGGTAGAGGCTAGGGTAGGCCATTTTTCAACTAATCAAGAGTTCAGTTAGGTTGGGGCTGTGTTGACACTTTGGTTGGTTTGCATTTCCGTCAGTTTCAAATGTCTTGAGAATGGGCTCAGACTCCTTTCTTCAGCAAAAATGTGGAATCTTAGCACTGTGAGACTTGAGAAAGCTCTCTCTGCTGTCCAGGCCAGCCCCTGGCTCCCTTTGCTGCTGCAGATCCAGCAGAAAAGGTCCCATTGGAGGGAATGATGGCAGCAGAAAACTCTGTGTGTGTGTGTGTGTGTGTGTGTGTGTGTGTGTGTGTGTGTGTGTGTGTTTCTGTGTGTCTGTGGCTTTCCCAGATTCCAAGTTGCCTCACAGCTCACATGCAGCCATTGAAAGTTCAGCTGGTTTCTCCCCATCACAGCAGCATTTCTCTGCATATGGCAGGCTCACTCCTGCAGGCCCCTGTGTCCAGAGATTTGGCACATATCCACAGGCATGAAATTGGCCACTAACCCCTGTGCAACTAGAGAGGGACAGTCCTACTCTAGAATTCAGTTTATTTAGATGCTCCATACCTACTGCTATGCCATATTTTAAGTTTGTCAGGTGTTTCCTTATTGTGCAGTTGCTATGGGAGTATTTTGTGACCCTCTGCATCCTGACTGGAGGTGGAGCCCTCTGACATTCCCATGAAGTGGCATTTCTTCCTCCTTTCTGGCTCCTCTGGAGGGAAGCCCATCCACGTCCAGACCTGCCTTATATTGTCTCATTTCCTCTCTCAATGTTGCCAGGGCTTTTTGTTCTTTACACGATGTGGGTTACCCCATATATTCTGATATGTAATTAGATTTTGGATTTAATTTTTCTATCTCTCTTTTTTTTAAGACTGGGTCTCACTCTGTCATCCAGGTTGTAGTGCAATGGTATGATCATGGCTCACTGCAGCCTCGAGCTCCCTGGGCACAGGCGATTTTTTCTGCTTCTGTCTCCCAGGTAGCTGGGACTACAGACACATATCACCATGCCTGGCTAATTTTTGTATTTGTTGTAGATACAGGGTTTTGCCATGTTGCCCAGGCTGATCTTAAATTCCTGGGCTCAAGTGATCCACCCGCCTTGGCCTCCCAAAGTGCTGGGATTACAGGTGTGTGTGAGCCACCATACCTGGCCTTTTCTGTCTTCTTATTTCTCAAAAAGCTGGTGTCCACTACTTAGGTTGTGAGGAGGTTGGGGATTATTCTTCCAGATAATGAAGCACAAGGCTATCATGACTATGTGTGTGTGTTGTGTTGGGCTGTGGGGAGGTGTGGGGGAGTGCTGGGAGTTGGGGAAAGTAAAAAACTGACTGGTGTTACAACAAGGGCTTGTACCCTATTATCCTTCTCAAATGTGCACATATCACACCTTCCCTGTCACACCCTCTATTAGTACACTTTCATGCTGTTGAAAAAGACATACCCAAGACTGGGCAATTTACAAAAAAAAAAAAAAGAGGTTTAATTGGACTTATAGTTCCATGTGACTGGGGAAGCCTCATAATCATGGTGGACATTGAGAAGCAAGTCATGTCTTACATGGATGGCAGCAGGCAAAGAGAGCTTGTGTAGGCAAACTCCCATTTTAAAAACCATCAGACCTTGTGAGACTCATGCACTATCCCAAGGAAAGATCCATCCCCATGATTCAATCACATCCCACCATGTTTCTTCCATGACACGTGGGAATTGTGGGAGTTACAATTCAAGATGAGATTTGAGTGGGGAAAAGAGCCAAACCATATTCTGCCCCTGGCCCCTCCCAAATTTTATGTTCTCACATTTCAAAACCAATCATGCCTTCCCAACAGTCCCCCCTAAGTCTCAACTCATTTCAGCATTAACTCAAAAGTCCACAGTCCAAAGTCTTATCTGAGACAAAGGAAGTCCCTTCTGCTTATGAGCCTGTAAAATCAAAAGCATGTTAGTTACTTCCTAGATACAACAGGGGTGCAGGTACTGAGTAATACAGCTATTCTAAATGGGAGAGATTGGTCAAAACAAAGGGCTACAGGCCCCATGCAAATCAGAAATCTAGTGGGGCAGTTAAATCTTAAGGCTCCAAAATGATCTCCTTTGACTTCCTGTCTCATATCCAGGTCATGCCGATGCAGGAGGTCGGTTCCCATGGTCTTGAGCAGCTCCGCCCATGTGGTTTTGCAGGCTAGTCTTGAATTCCTAACCACAGTTGATCTGTCTGCCTTGGCTTCCCAAAGTGCTGGGATTACAGGCATGAGCCACTGCACCCAGCCAAGTGTTTTCAATTAAATGTTATTACCAATTACTGGCTTTTTATAAACCTTTACATAAATGGGCCAGTATTTCTGGCATCTTTCCTTTGAAGTCAGGGCTTTGGCCATTTCTGGCAGAAAATAATGGGCAGCGCTTTTGTCTTTCCCTCTTTCCCTTGGAGGGGGCTCACCTGGTAGGTGCCATCTGGTACCTGAGTCACAGGTATCATTATGACATCACAGGTCTTTCTTCCTCTACCCTTCCTGCCTGTGCTATGGCTGGATGAACACAGACCTGAGGGGATTTGAACCATCTATACCCAATCCATGTGTGACCAATGGTAAGACAAAGCCAGACACACGAGCTTGTTAGAGATGTCCCCATAAATCCTTCAGGATGAAGGGACCACTTGACACTGAAGACTGTAAGAAGTCCTGGAAGTTGGGGATGCCTGCCATACTGAATGGAGAGGGAGGAACAGCAGCCTCACTCTTGCCTTTCCCCTAATGTTGATTGCAGGAGGAGAAGCAGCCCCCAAAGACGAAGGAGCCCTCAAAAAGAGATGAGCCTCAGCAGAAGGAGACACCGACCCCTTTGTCCTTAGGAGCAAAGTCGAAGGCAGAGGTAGGAGGAGGCCTGACTTGGATATAATTGATCCCATGTCCTAGTTCTTGTGGCTAGTGTATTTTGCATGGTGCTGAGCTAAGAAGAGAAATAAACTCAATCTTGTTAGTGCTCTTTCCCCATTTCCTTTTCAGGCTAAAACTCCAGCTCTGGTCGAGATGCAGACAGTGGACAATGCCAGTGAGAAATTAGAAAAAGTATGACCTCCCAAACCACACAGGGTTGGGGCTGGGGATGTGGGGGCTGTGCTTTTGGAATGAAATGACCATGATATAGGAAGCTGGACTCAGAAGTGTGTGCGTGTGTGTGTGTGTGTGTGCATGCACATGTTTGAGCTTGTGCATATATGGTGTTTGTGAATTAAGATTTAAAATGCAAAAGTTAAGAAAAATGATGATGGAGAAAAGAAGAACTTTGGGGTAGGGGAACTTTTAATACTATAAAATTGTTGGAAATAAGAGCTTGGAGTCGCAAAGAAAATGAGCACTCAACCAAAGGATTTCTCAGCAAGGCAAAATCACATTTGCAGAAGGGTGCTTCTTGTATACAAGGCAGTGGCAAAACACTGAACGATGGAAAGAAGGCATTCTTATTTCCCAGCACAGTCCCTGTTTCTGGGTCCTCCTGCTGTGGGTTTGGGTCAGACTGCACAATTTAAACTGCTCCCAATTGGCTAGATTTAGCAATTTTTTTAAATAAGGAGGGATGTTGGGTACAGGCTGAGAACAGGACAAAGAAGTAGGAAGTTAACTGTTTGTACCTAATGACTTAAAGCAGGGCGGTGTAGGTTGGTTACAAGCTTGGCAGGTTAGGCAAGAAAGATTACTTATAGAATAGAACAAAGGACAAGGGAGTGAAATCTTTTGAAGAGGAACTGTTTGTTCCTAACAACATGTTGACGAAAAGAGTTGAACTCTGTAAAATATGAAGAGATTTATTCTGAGCCAAATATGAGTGACCATGGCCCATGACACAGCCCTCAGGAAGTCCTGAGAACATGTGCCTGAGGTGGTAGAGGCGCAGCTTGGTTTTGTACATTTTAGAGAGACATGAAACATCAATCAAACACATTTAAGAAATACATTGGTTTGGTCCAGAAGGGACAACTCAAAGCAGTGGCGGGGTGGGGAGGGAGGTGTGGTGGAGGAAGGGCAGTGCTTTCAGGCTGTAGGTGAATTTAAACATTTTCTGACTGACAATTGGTTGAGTTTGTCTAAAGACCTGGAATTCATAGAAAGGGAACATTCAGGTTAAGATAAAAAATTGTGGAGACCAAAGTTCCTTTGAAGTATTATAGTGGCTGCCCTTAGAGATGACAGATGAGGAATGTTTCCCTTTCAGACCTTAGTTAATCTCTTCAGGATTGGGAGGGTGGGTCTGGAAGAAAATGATCTAGCTATGTTAATAGGGATTCTTTACAGATGCAAATTTTCCCTCACAAAGAACAGCTTTGGGGGGGCCATTTCAAAATTTGGCAAAGAAACATGTTTTGGGATAAAGTATTTTTCTTCCTTGTCTCATAATGTTATTATGCCAGGGTCAGGTTGGAAAGTAAGTCACAACATGTAGAGTTAAATCAAATCCATCTGATGAGAATTTATAGTTTGTAGGGCATGACTCCCCAGACCCCTTTAGACAGGAATCCAGGCATGATAAAAAAAATATCAGGGTTTAGTCCTCAGACATGATAGAGGGAAAGAACAGGGTGAGGTTATGAGCTGGAGTCAGGGATGAGAGGGCAGGGCTGGCAAAGGATGTCACTTCTCTGGCAGGTGGGAGGGGTCTGAAAGGAAGGGTAAGACCTGGGTGGAACATGGTAACCCTTTGATTCTGTATCACAGTGTCCTTGCTGGCCAACTAGGTCCATGGAAAACTGGGCAGGTGTGCCCCATGATGGGGACCTGAGACCCAGGGGCAAGGTGATGTGCTTGTGGCCATCAACCAGAGGATGGCAGAGGCAGGACACCTACCTGGTCTTCTGGTTCCAGCCAGTGCCCTCCCCAGTGTTCCCGAATTCCAGAAAAAGGGACAGTTGCTGATAGGGAATCAGGGCCTTTCCTGACACACCCCAGGGCTGAAGCCAGTGGGGAGCATTCTCTGAAGGTCCCTCTTTTTTCTTGAAAGCCCCCAGAAACCCAAAAGAAGCTCTCTGACAAAGATATGGTAGCCATCAAGATCCAGGCCTGGTGGCGGGGGACCCTGGTGCATCAGTCACCCTCAGAGCCTGCATCATTCAGTGCTGGTGGTGGCTGATGCTGTCCAAGATTTTGGAGAAGAGGCGGCGGGCAGTGCTGGAGGTCTTCTCCCAGGAGGAGTGGGCAGCAGTCACACTGCAGTCCCAGGCCCGCATGTGGCGCATCCGCAGGCATTATTGCCAGGTGCTAAATGCTGTTTGCATCATCCAGGCCTACTGGAGGTGCCGTGCCTGTGCTTCCCAGGGGTTCATCAAGGGCCAGTACAGAGTCACGGCCAACCAGCTGCATCTCGAGCTGGAGATCTTGCTGCGCTCAGGACCTTGCATTGTGACGGAGTGTATTCCTATCTCAATAAAGGAATGAAGTGGTCTTTTCTGCATAGTCTCTGACAAGTAGAGCAGATCAGAGCAAAGGATGGCAGATACTTGGCATTTCATATACCAGCTCTGAGGAATGGGTAGGGCTTATCTGAGGCCTCATGTGGAGCAGGACTCTGAGCCCCTCTTCCAGACTGAGCAGAGACTGTTATTGATTAGCAATGTCTGCTGTAGGAAGGAAAGCTGGGGGCAAAGACCTGTCAATTGGCCAAATCCAGGGAGCATCATTCATATTTACATCATTTTATGTAAATAAACAGTGCACCCTCCCCAGGACTGGGTGTAATGGAAGCCTGGCTGGTGGTGGTCATGGCAATGGTAGCACGTTCTCCATGAATTCACCAGGCTGGATCTAGTTGCTCAGAGCTTGTTCCCCAATCCCTATGACTGAGAGGAGCCCCCCAACTCCAAGCCCTGTGATCCTGTCTCCCTGCTGCACTGGGGGCTATGTCCTTATACTTGGCTTCTAAGAATCTGAGACCAAACTGGAAGCTGTTAGCATAACTTAAGTCCTCATCCTCACCTCACACCCCATCTGTCCCTTGCCCTTGAGCCCCATATGGAAGCTAGGACTCATTTTCCTCCAGACCAGCCTGGCGTGGGAGTTTCCACAGGCAAGGGGGTGGGAGAGAGGGCATTTTGCTGCCAGCCCAATCCTCTGGTGATTATCAGACCTCAGGTTATCACAGCTGCAGGAGCTGAGGAGGCATCAGTCTTGTCTTCCTTACTCTCTCCTCTGGTCCAACTACTGCAAAGACCAATCCAGGCAGAGCTGGCTCCTCTGAAAGTCCCTTCCTGGGAAATGCTGCCAGCTCGGGGTGGGGTTGGCGACCAGGTGATGATAAGGGCCAAGTAAGAGGTGAAGGTTTGCATTACTCTGATAATTAGTGATGTTGGACAATTTTTCATATATCTATCTGCCATTTAGCAAATAACAATGTAGTGTATATTTCAAGATTCTTAAAACAAGATTTTGAATGTTGTCACTGCAAAGAAATGATAAATGTTTAAACTGATGGATATGGTGAATATCCCAATTTGGTCATTATATTATATATACATGCATTGAAATATAACATTATACCCCATAATTATGTATAATTTTTGTCAATTATAAATTAAAAAATTAATAACAGCAAAAAAAGAGGTTAAGATTAGGCTGAACCTCTGCCTGTCAATACTACTGTCCCTGTCCTGTGGTTCCCTGCAGAGAAGGAGGATTCTGAGGTCTGGGTCACAGCCTATGTCCAGCCCTGCCTCAACTACTATGCCCTGGAGAGCTGGTTCCTCAGCTCCCAGATGTTCTGAGATGGACCCAGAAGTCTCAGGCTCTAGCTCCAGGGCATGAGCTCTGTATTCCCTGCTCTGTCTTGCCGTGTCCTGCCCCTTGTGTCTCATGCAAGGCCTGGGTCTCGCATACCCACTCTGAAGGATTGCTGTCTTTCTCCTTGCTTTCTGTTGTCCTGTCTTCAGAGTCTCAGAGCACAAAGCTCTGATCTCGGTCTGATCCCTGGCTCTGCCTCTCACTGCTGTGTGGCCATGAACAGGTCATTTCCCCTCTCTGAGCCCAGTGTCCTGAGCTGTGAACTGGTGCTAACATTCCCCACCTTCCAGGGTAAATGTCAAGCACCATAAAAACTAGCATCTTCAAAACATCAAGTTTGTACACCTATATTGTATTTAACCTTGTTAACTGTACCTCAATAAAACTAAAAAATTTCTGCATCAGCATCAAAACAAGGAAAAGGGTCACAAACAAACTTTAAATACTGGTAGCCATGGAAAAAGCAGCCAATTCTGGGGTCAGCTGGAGTGGCTCAGCAGAGCACATGGCAGCACGCTCATTGTTGTTGAGGTACTCCTTCTCCGGGTCCTCCTCAGTGGACAGAGCCAGGAAATACATGTTTGTGCATATGCACAAGCAATGCACATTTATATCTGTGTTTATTTCTGTACTTATCTACATTGAAATCTATGAGTTCACACTGATAGCTCCAATCCCACACCAAATTTGAGAATGCACTCTATTTTCTCCTTTCCATATTTCTTTCTTTCTTTCTTTGAGATGGAGTCTGGCTCTGTTGCCCAGGCTGGAGTGCAGTTGTGTGATCTTGGCTCACTGTAACCTCTGCCTCTGGGATCCAGCAATTCTCCTGTCTCAACTCCCAAGGAGCTGGGATTACAGGCAGCCACCAAAATGCTTGGCTAATTTTTGTATTTTTAGTAAAGACAGGGTTTTGACATGTTGGCTGGGCTGGTCTTGAACTCCTGACCTCAAGTGATCCACTCACCTCGGCCTCACGAAGTGCTGTGCTTACAGGCATGAGCCACTGTGCCCCAGCCTCCTTTCTATATTTCTAACTCCTCTTCCTGAGAGTGACATCCCTAGCTCCCACTATCTTTAATACATTTTCTTATTTGATCTTCTCTGTGTGCAACTAATTCTACACAGCTACTGCTGGCCTCTCACAGAAACACTGACCCACCTCTCTTGATCTCTGATATACCATGCCATCTATTGCCCTCTTCCTGTGGCTCAGGCTGTGGCTCCCCACATTAGTCTGGTGATTGGGGTAAATGTCCCTTCACCCAACCTGAGCTGACACAAAATGTCAGGCCACCCTCTGTGTGGATATCCTCCTCACTGTGCTCAGGTTCTGATGGTCTATGCCACCAAGGATGCCATTCTCATCCTGCTGGATATGACACTGTTACTGGTATGGTCTTACACCCCTGTGTGGACTCCTCCACCCACTGCCTGAGTTCCATGCTGATGCCTCCTAGACCAATGTCTTCTTTCCCTGTCTTGTGACCCTCCCTCACCTGGCTCTGTTCCATGGTGGCTCTCTTTCCCCCAGGTGAATCTATGCTGCACTGCCCAGCCTGAGGATTTCAGACTGACTGACTGATTCAGGAAGGAAAGGGAAAAAAAATAAAGGCAAGGGCAAGAGAAAACTAAATTTTCAATTAAAAAAATGGAGACAAAACATCTGCAGAAAAAATTCTCAATCACAGGCTAATATATGCTTCAACGTTTTCACCTCAAACCTCAAGCAAGCATAACCACACAGAAGATCTGGAAATTGTTCATGAAATAATGAATCAAAATGTTTGAGTACAGGCTCAGGCCTTCCTCTCCCTTTATGAATTCATAGGAATAACAGAAAGGAAATACACTGATGTCAAAAGTTTGTACTAGTACCTAAAATAGAGGAAAGTTGCCTTCAGAGAATGGAAATCATGTGGAATCCCTAAAAGACAGGCATATGTGAAAAAACCGAAAGACAATCAATCAAAGATTTAGAAAAGCAAAAGCAAAGGCAAGAGTGGCCATGCCGTTTCTCCATACTTGGAACTAGCTGGTCCAGGGACAGCAGGGCTGTGGGCTCCACAGGGCGCTGGTTGGAATAGGCCCATAGGAGGAGCAGCCGGCTCTCCATTGACCTGCAGAGTTGGCAAAAGAGTGGCTGATGGCAGAGGGCTCTGTGACTGGCCTGGGGTGGCATGGCAGGGCCTGGTGCAATGTGACACCCGTGCACAGCAAGGCCCCTGCTCAGAGGACCACTCACAGAATTCCCATCCTGACAGCTCACTCCATGGAAATGGAAGACCCGGAAGTTCCACTGTTGGTCAAATGTGTGCTTCTGAGAAAGATGGAGAATGGAGGGAAGGAGCACTCAAGCATGAATGAAAGGATCTCCCATCATCGATGAGAGCTTTAATGAGATTCTTTAGAAAGAACTACAGTTTAAGACAGTTGAGCAACTGCACCAAGAGGACTGAAAACAGATGGAACCCAAAACATGCTATGGCTGAAGATAAAATACTGAAACTTTTTTTTTTTTTTTTTGAGATGGAGTTTAGCTCTTGTTCCCCAGGCTGCAGTGGTGTGATCTTGGCTCACTGCAACCTCTGCCTCCCAGGTTCGAGCAATTCTCCCACCTCAGCCTCCTGAGTAGTTGGGATTACAGGTGCCTGCCACCACACCTGGCTAACTTTTGTATTTTTAGTAGAGACAGGGTTTCACCATTTTGGCCAGGCTGGTCTTGAACTCCTGACCTCAGGTGATCTGCTCACCTCGGTCTCCCAAAAGGCTGGGATTACAGGCGTGAGCCACTGTATCTGGCTAAGATATTGAAACATTTAAATAGGAAATAAAACCAATGGTTTACTCACCAAGGATTGAGTCAGGTTGATTTCAGCCTTCTCAGCAGCAACACTGAGTGCAAAGAGAGAGTGGAGCCACAGCCCCAACTTTCTGCAGAATAATTTTTTTCAGCATAGAATCATAAACTCACCCAAATATTATCCAAGTGTTGTCCCTCACCTCCCCTGCAAACCATGGAATCAGGGACGTGGCACTCAATAGGGAAATCTAAAAACAAAGATGAGCACTCAAACAAGAACCACCGAGCTTTGGAGGAAAGCAACAGCATGAGAAAGCACTCTTTAACTCTGCAAGCAGAAACCTGATAGCCAGGGAAAGACCTGAGAAATTAAATCCTCACTGGGTGGAGGAAGACCTCTTACATACAAAAGAACAAGCCCTATTTAAAAGCCATTTATGGATCTCAGAAAGGAACAATGATTGTAAAAATTAAAACCTAGTAAGTGGGATGAGTAGCAGAATGGACATATAAAGTACAGATTAGTGAGTGGAAACTTTGATGTGAAGAATCCTCCTGGAGTGTAGCACAAAAGGTCAGAGTAATGAAAAAGTTAAAGAAAAGAAATAAAGGAATGAGGCATTGATCCAGAAGTTCCAGTCATGGTTGAATGCGTATCCCTGAGAAAGGAATTGCAGAGATGGAGGCAGAAATATTCAAAGCATTGATGAGTTTTCCAGAGCTTAAAGAGACTCACTCGCCCTCAAAAGATGAAGGAAAACAGCTGGAGCTTCACACAGGTCACAACACAATCTCATAACTGATGAAGACAGAATACTTAAAGAGGAAAAGGAATCAACACATCACCTCCTAAGAAATACATTTAGATTCA